CGTTTTGCATAATTGTACTTGAATCCAAATAGCTTCCGAATCCTGTTCAAATGGTAGTACTTCGCCCCTAGCCTGTGTACAACCAACCCCCAATACTTTGAGAACAGCTTGTGATTGCTTCATATGACATAAAGACAAAAAAAACCGATTAAAGGGACTTTTTGGAGTGAAATATCTGTTAATAGACCTAACAAAGATGATGGTCCACCACACAGTAGTTCTCTTCAGCAAGAAAAAAAAGGTAATTTTATTCAACACTTGTTCTCTAAGTGTAGACATTCAATATGCAACTTGACAGACTCTTGGACCAGAATAACATTTTCTGCACTTTAGAAACACTTCCACTTGACTTAGAGGATCATGTTCAGCAATGCAACATGGCTGAAAACCAGACAGGAAAAGTTTACATAACAGGGTACATGTACAACAAACAGTCACTGTTTAGTCACCAGCATCTCCACCATTCTTTGTTTCCGCTACCACTGCATCGGATGCCTTAGTTGAAGCCTGCACAAAGAATAGACAAAAAAGCCAATCTGTGATTAAGCATAAAAAAACTGATGAAATGTGATGAACACAGAGCTGTCAAGGTAAATTTCAGTACATAATGTCATCATGCAAAAGCGCTATAAAAGTGTTTACTTGCCTTCTTTTTTTTCTTCTTTTGAGTTTTCCTGCTTGCTGATGTTGCAAGTATGTCCTGGGAAGTAAAAAAAAAAAAAAAAGAAAGAATTTATGACAAAACAGTTAAATACATCATGTTCTTTTTTCTCTCTTAACCCTTTACACCCTAACATCAGTATGCATATTCTCCACACTGCTCTTTATACATTTCCTAAGGTGCTGACAGGGAGAATTTGTTTGCCAATCAAAAGGTTCCTTCCCAGGTGAACGTTTCCTTATTTTCTCATGACCTTAGTGTGTGATTCAGGGTTGATATTGTTGGGAGAATTTAGATGCTTGTCACTCTTAGGGTTTAAAGAGTTAAACATTCATGAAATTCAAACCAGACAAACTTCAAAAATTCAAAATGAATCATTCATAATATGGAGGACTCTCTCTCATCGAAAAACCATATCTTATATGCAATTCTCCCTACTGCACACCCTGCAATTCTCATGATAATAGTATGGAGAAATTGTATTTGATCAAGTAATAACCCCCTAATTGTTACTTTTCTTTGCTGTAATCACTTGTCTTAATATCGTAGTAATATTGTGTAGAGAAATTCTCACTCAAAAACTGTGAAATTCTGTCATGGTCAAACTCACACAAAAACAACAAAAATATTTAAATCATTTTGATGCAGAGCCTCCTGGAGATTACCTCACCTTAATCTCTTGGTCTTTTATTGAGTACTCTGATTGTATTACTTCTGGGTCAAAAGGTCCTTGCGTAATCCTAGGGAGAAAAAAAAAATGTTTCAGTGGCTGTAACAGCATGGGTGTGATTCCTGATGAGCCTTAATTTTTTTCCAGCTTGCTTAAATTGCAGCTCACCTGCAGGGATCATGGCTTTATATGATTTTCAAGTAACTAGTCAAGTGAAATTTATTTCAACACAAATTGTACATGGAGATATATGGAAGCTATTTCTTACCTGATTGGTCCATTAGGCATGATTAAAAGTGTGAATTTGAACTGGGCTACATATTCTCCTGGAATAAAAGATAAAAAGCAGCAGGCTGTGAGAGAAAAACTGATGGCAAGGGAAAGGGGAGGAAGGGGTGAGGATGGTGAGAATGGGTGAGAATGGGGGGGGGGGGGGGGAAGGTGAGGAGGGTTCAGCTTCATATCTTAATATGTCGCCAGGAATAATATGAAAAAATTAGGTGTCAAAATAAATTAGAGTTATCTATGAAAAAGGAATC